ACTCAAACCCTAATTAATACTTCAGAAGAGAGTAATTTAGTTTGTAATATACCAAGTCTATTTCTAGTACTTATAGACATGGCAAGGCTCGTCCGAAAAGCTCGGGATCGCCCGGCTCGGCTCGTGCCAAGATGACCCTGAGCCTGCTTATATAAGGCTCGCGGGTAGTTTTTCTAATTTCAAAAGCTTATCTGCCAAGTTTTGAGCTATTTATTGAGTCGGGCGAGCCTTCTATAATTAAGCTTTATATTTAAAAAGAGGCTTGACAGGCTTGCTAAGATTATAATTATATATAATATTACTGTAATTTCTATAATATTTAAAATATATTTTCTGACTTAAGTCAAAATGTATTTTTAAAAGTAATATATAATATTATTTTCTTATTTAACTTATAATATATTCTCTAATCTAGGTTTAACTACTTTTTTCTGAATTAAGATATAAGAATATTTTTTAACTTAAGTTAGAAAAAATTCAGTACTATTCTTTATATTGAATTCTAAACTATTCATAGTAATTTATCTAATAATCATAATTACAAAGTTAGTGTCAAGCTAGTATCCGTGGAATTTATAATAATATTAGAGTTCTCTGTAAAGAAAGCATAAAAATTAAATCTAATCTATATTAAATAATCTGAATATCTTTATTATCACTATTACTATTATTATTATTATTAAAAATATTATTAATATTAATATTATCACAAAACTTATTTATATTACTTATTTCATGATTAAGAGATTCAAGATATTTATCTTTTATAGCTGGTATCTCTATAAATATAATATCTATAAAAAAATTAGATAAAGTTATATTATCTGGAATATACTTAAATTCATCTTATAATTAAAATCTTTCTTTATATATCTGAAGTATTAAGACTTTGATAATATCTGGAAAAAAATAATTACAGTAATAATAATATATATCTTAAACAGAATTAAAAAGTTATTTAACTTTAACTCTATTAATAGAAATTATAAGAAAATCCTGTATTATATAACTGAGAACAGGAAATTAATTTTAATTTATTTTTTATTATTAAAGAATATTTTTAGTCTGAATTAGTCCTTCCTGTAAATATTATTTAATTTCAGGAATAAAATCTTTAATTATTATAGATTCAGTATATATAAAATATTTTAATTAATTAATTAGATTTACAAGATAGGATGAAGATAAGTTTTCTAAATATATTAATTTAAATTAATTCTAGTATTATAACTTATATTTTAAATAAAGATCTTCTAGAATTTTCTTATAAACTGAATTATAATCACAGATTAGATCCTGCTATTAAGTAGTATTAAAAATCTATAATTTTAGATCTAGTACAAGAATTATTGCAAGTATATATAAATAATCTTAATTATTATAAATTTAACTATAATAAAATCTTAGTTTTTTTAATATATATTTAAGATTTTTATAAAGCTGTTGTTTCTATTGAATATATTTTTTTATAAATATTATTAAGTTGTCAAACCCTAGGATCACTTCCCTGTTCCTGTTAGCTTAGCTTCACTGGTATACATACCGCTGAACTGGATTGAGATGGTATCAGACTGATAGTCTATCTAAGATACTAGTCTTAAACAAGAGAAAAGAAGTAAGACCAGATAGTACTATACAGTTATCTGTAAGTGAGTGCAGATAAGTGTTATACTGCTAAGCTTCCAAAGGTAGGTTACTTAAAGATAATATAGATTAAGCATGAAGAACAGAACTAATTAAATACATAAATAAGTATTCTTATATATTCTATCCTCTATATACTAAGTAGTATATCTTCCCATATACCATATATTATATACTATATACCCGTCTGTATACCATCCTATATATCCATAGTCACGTGACGCATAGCTGTTCTGGGTATTATGAGAGTAATCTGGGATTCTCCTTAATAAGAGTTTCTGTTTACTCGAGCACTGCCTTTATCAGCACTTTCTGCCTAACGAGTCCGCCTTACTAGCAGGTCAACTAGCAGGGGTCTGTAACATTAATATTATAATTTATCTTATAATATTTACTGAAGAGCTCATATATCTTATCTTATTTTAAAAGAGAAATAATTTAATTAATATAATTAACAGAGATACTAAAGAGCTAATAAAACTAGTCTTTAATATTCTTTATAATAATAAAAATTTATTATTCCTCCTTGATTTTAAGTCTTCATAAATTAAGTATAGATAATAAAAATATCTTATTATAATCTGGCTGGTAAATTAGCTATTTATTTACTTTTAATATAAACAGGATTTTAGATTTTATATTATTAAGATAGTAAACATCAGTGGCCTAAAGAAAATCCTATATATAATAATTAATATCTTCTGACTTAAGTTAGAAATAAATAATATTTTTTTAATTATATTTTATAGTAAATAATCTATCTTATTCTTCTGATATTAATTTAATATTTTGTATTTACTAAAATCTGTCTATATTTTCTTAATAATATTAAGAAGTACTTGTTTCCAATATTATCCTGTATTCAAAATAAACTTTAAAAAATAATTATTATAGAAAGAAATAGTCAGGTCCTTAATATCTTTCTATTTAATCTTATACTAAAAAGTTAATCCTTATTAGATAATATTTTCTAAAATTTTAATTATTTATATATCTAGGGGCTCCTTAGTAGTAGATAATATAATTTCTGTATTATCAGCATTATTAAATATATTAATTAAAAACTCCAGGATTTGATACCAGTTCTTTCATGAAATGGTATACTTAAAGAATATATTAAATTATATTTTTTTAATTTTATTAATAAATATTTATTTAAATATTTATACATGACTCAGATCTAGTTCTCTATTTTTTTATAATTAGAAAATCCTGTTTTACTCAGGCTATTCTGGATTTATATTATATATATTAATTATTATTATACTTAACCAGGAATTTCTAAGTTCCTTATTAATATAGAAGTCTTTAATCTGGATTATTTACTAGACTTTCTTGTTTATTACTATAATTTTATACTTTTACACTATTTTCAAAAGTTTAAAGAATATTACTTAGTATAATATCTTCTAATTTAAGTTAAAAGCTTTAGTTTTCTGTACTAGAATAGTATAAAAAATAATTTTCAATATTAGTAAAATAATCTAGAAACTTAAGAGTCTGCATCAGGGATATATATTTATATATAAAAAAATATAAATATAAATAAATAATACTAGAATATTATTTTCTCTGGTTATATATACTGGGATAGTATAGTAATAAATCCTTGTAGACTTATAGATAAATATATAAATAATAGTAATTAAACTAGTCTAGTTATATAATAAGTATTTCTATATTAAATATCAGATTATTATTTTAACTTTTAATTTAAATTAGAAAATGGAAAATATAATATCAGAAAATTAAAAACAGTAAATTTAGACCAGGAGTACAAGATAACTGTAAGAAAATAGAAAAATTATATAAAAAAAAGATTATATTTAAAGAAAAAAATATATTTCTAACTTTAGATTCTAGTATATGATTATATAAGTAGATATATATATAATATTAGACCCCGGGATGAATAAGCAAATAGTTTATATAAATAATATAATATTAATTTATAAAGTTCAAGTAAATATAATCAGATTTACTCCATGATATCTCCTGTATTAAATATATATCTGGAAAATCATATAATTAATCAGAGTAAGTCTCTTAGCATATTCTAACTTAAGTTAGTAAAAATACATATCTTAAATCTCTTAATAAATCTCTATAAGCCCTTACAGGCGAGCCCTCTTACCCAGTAATGAGTGTCGACGCCGAGCCGAGCCTGGTCAATCAGAGCTCAAAGCTTGAACAGGCGAACAGCTGACCCCCCTAAAGCTCGCCCGGCTCGCCCATTTGCCATGTCTAAGTACTTATATAATTATATCTCAGCTATCTATCAAAATAACAGCTAGTCCTGTTATAGAACCGTATAATTTTTCTAACAGAAATAATCTTGATTTATGCTGTAAAAATAATAGTATATTAATATATCTAAACATTTAATATAATGTGCTGATTATTTATCCAGCTCATTACCTACAGATCCAGCTTACTAATAATAATTACAGTACAATATCTGATAAGGACTGTATTTTATTTCATAACCCATTTTCTGGGCCATAAATAAGTCGTGAGCTTATTGGGATAATAATAGCTGATAATAATTATAATAATACTGCTTCTATCTTAAATTAGTTAACTATAAAATAAAATACTTTAGGATATAACTTCCTGGATGAACCAGTATTAGCTCTAGTATTTATAGATAAAGATATTAATTATATATTATTTTATTAACAGTCTTAAAAAGTCTTTTTAATTCTTGAATAACAGTACTTTTCTTCTTCTTCAGACTAGACACATACACAATATACTTTAAAAGATATTTCTAAGAATAATAACTTCTAGCCTGGAATACTACTTATTTTAGTAAAGTTCATGTTTTTAAATATCATTAACTAATTATTACTAGAAGATTGGGGCTTCTATGATAAAACTCTATAATATAGAAATAGTCTATATTAAGATTATTTTATGCTTGAGAGTAAATTATGGACTATTAAGCTAGTAGTAGATTTATAATTTTATTTATTTCCTGCCACATTTTTAATTTTGACTATAATATTAGTAGACTACAGCTTTTTCTGTTAATTACTATTTCTTGATATTAAGACCCGGTACCGCGCTTATTAACTGATGGGAGACTTACTATATTAGGAATATTAATTAAACCAATTCCAACTATAGATATATATAATAAGTGTTAGATATTCTGTCTGCTTGTCTTAGATGGATGTGTACTTAGATATTATTAATATACTATGTTTATCTTGCATTTGCTCTCCAGATACTATAATTTCTAGATTTCTACTCTCTAGATACTAGATATAAAACTGAGAGATTTAATTTATATAGTAGTATAGTATTTTATACAGCAATATTATATAATATCTAAGATAGTTTCTTAAAAAGCAGCCCAGCTAACTCAATTGGTAAAGTATGAGACTTTTAATCTTAAGACTGCGGGTTCGAGCCCCGTGTTAAGCTTTTATTTTTATATTCTGATATTTTCAGTTAGGTGGTAAAGATTTTTTAGTATAGTTAGTATCTACTGGCCTATAATAATATAATTATGAAATTCATTGATCCTGTAAGTAGTAGGAATTGTAATATATTAATTATAAACTACTCATAATATAAATACTATCTATCTTTAATTATATTATTAAAATTTATCTATATAAGAATTTTAATCAGAATAAATGATATCATGATTATGTGGTATAGTAAACTCTTTCTTCTCTTTCTTTTCTCTTTATAAAGCTGTATCTATATATCCATATTCTAACTAATATCTATATATATCCCAGATCTAATCTAGTAAGTATATACAGCCTTATAATATTAACACTAATCTTTCTTCTTCTAAAGTAATTTCTATATCTATTGTCTAACTATGTATTAACAGGGGAAAATAGAACAGATAATAAATAATATATAATATAATAATATCTTATCTGATACAGCATTATATTCAGTTAAATAGATAAATTATTATCTTATGATACATCCACTGTCTAGGATATGTAATGAATAGACCTTGTAGTTAAGAAAATTAATTATTATTGATTTTTTTAGAGAAAAAGAGAGAAAGGAGAAGGGGGGTAAGTATTTCTATATTAGATTAAATTTTTATATTTATGAGTAAAGAAGGTAGATATAAATATGTAAGTATATTAGTTTTAGATAGAATAGAATAAAGATTAAGAGTAATAGTAATAGTTCTTGAGGGTATAGAAGAATAAATAAATCCTTAGGTTAGGGGGAATATGTCTGTGGTTGTATTATATATAATAAAAGATTAAAAAAAAAGGATATGATATGGTAAATGTAGTTAATAATATTAATAATCTATTCTGTATTATGGTTGGTAATTCTCTAGATCTAAAAATCTATATCGGAGAATGAAATTATATATAAAATACTAAATTATATAAGAGCAAGGTCTCTGGTAAAGACTAGGATAAACTATATTAAAAAGAACATGTATCTTGATATTCTCTTTATCTTATTAAACTAGATTAATATTAATCCTGTAGTAATAGTGAAAATAAGAAGAAAAAATAGAAAATAACTTAGTTCTTTATCTGGATGTTATTATCCACTGTACAGACTAATACCTGAGTAAAAGAACTTACTAAAACTTATTAACTCCTTCTTACTAGCTATTAACATGGGTGAAAAAGGACTAATTAGGCATGGAGCTTCAGACTCCAGATTTTAACTGGAATTCCTATATAAAATACCGGGGGAGATAGAAGGGCTATATAATATATAAATAAGTATGGCCAGAATGAGGATCAGCTTGGAAAATATAATAAGTAATAGTTTATAGAAAATGATGGAGACTGGGAAGTGGCTGGATATAATCTAGTCTCTTTTAGAGTGCTTTCAGAGATTTATGCCTGGTTAAAGTATGAAAGATGATCAGGAGTGATGGAGAGAGAGTTTAAGGTTAATAATTATAGTTGGATGGCTGAATGTACAGATCTTTATAATACGGAGATAACTCTGGTCTGATGGTTTTTTTTTTAATCTAAAAGAAAGAGGAATTATAGCAGTCAAGTATATAGCTAGCATCTCACTGCGGGTTCATGGGGCGGTATGTATAGATTATTATATAATAAGATACTAGAATAAAGATACATAGACTTAGGCCTTATTGTGATAGAATAACCTAGCTATCGGGGCCTTGGGCATCGGAATGATGTATTACAATGGTTATGAGAGTCATGAGGTCATTAATAGAGGTTCTACACCTCCCCAACACCTATAAGGTGCCGATTCCTTTGTAATAAGCTACTGATTTCTCAAGGATCAGTCTATCTTGTGGATATAGACTATCTTTATTAATTATTAAACTAATTTATTATATTTTATAACAGATTCCTTATCTAGTCAACAGGCTTTCTATTCTAATAAGTAAATTCTATCATATTCTAATCCTTCTTATTTTAATTACCTAAGGAAGATACTATTCCTTGAAAATAATAAAAAAAGAAAGATATCTAGTAATTATATTAATCTTAAATCATTATTAAATACAGTCCCTACTACTGAAGAAATCTAATAATTAGAAAATCATATTTATTAATTAGAACAGGCTGCTAATTTATAAAAAAGAATAATTTATTTTTAAAAATACAGTTTCCCAGGTAAAATATTCTTTAGATACTATTAATTCTCTTCTAAATCCAAAAGAGATAAGAAAGAGATTAAGTTTAAAGATATTCTTTATTTTACTTTAAACTTTAATTTTTAAAAATATTAAAAATAGATTATTAATCTAGAATATATATTTCAGGAGACTTTTAAGAAATATTTATTAGAGAAATACAAGATTCTTATTATTATTAATTATATAGATCTAGTATATAAACAAAGATAGTACTATTTTATTAATAATAAAAATCTGGAAGTAAGATAATTTTTTAAGAAATTATAGTCTCAGTTCAAGAATTAAATCCTTATTTTAATTTGGAATACTACTATTCTTTAATCAGATATTATAGCTTAATTTAAATAGACTTATCAGTAATATAGTTAAGATCTGAGAGAATTTTATATTTATCTTAATATTTTAAAGTAATATTTTCTCTGTTAAGCTGAGAAGGAAAAAGCTTTATCTTACTTTACTAAACTATTATCTAATCTTAATTATTATATATAAGAATATATTCTTTATCTACCAGAGGAACGGGACAAAATGGTAGTTATTATTATTTATTATTATAAATTATAAAGTAATAAAAGAAAATATAAGTAAAATAATAATTAATCTAATAATTATAAATTATATAAGTACTTCTAGAGCTATTCTAATTAATTAATTAAAAAAGATGTATTAAATCACAAGAAGAATTTTATAAGAAAAAATAATAATTAATTATAATATTTTATATATAATAGTATCCAGTATCTTATAAACTGATATTCTACTAAAGACAGAAAGATTTAATTTACTAGAATCTACTAATATTTATCAGATTCTGAGAAAAAAGTAGAGGAGTTAAAATAAATCCTATAATTTTAACTTTTTTACCTGAAGTAGGGACTACTTATTATTTCTATATTTTTATTTATATTTAAAATAATTTTAAAATTTTTATAGATCTAGATAGTTATACAGAAGTAGATATTATTAATTATTAATTTATTAAGACTTATAATCTTTAATATGCCCCAGTCACTGTACTTAAAATTAAAGTTATTAATTAAGTTATTATTTTTATCTATAGAATATAGAAAGTTTTTATTACTGTTACTAATTTATAAGGAAGTATCTGTACCTTTAGATAATATTATATAAAAATTAATTAAAATCCCCGCCTGTATAGTAGTTTAATTCTGTTATTAATAATTATACTTCAGAATCTCTGTATTAACTTATCAGTATAGAATTAATAATAATAATTTAGTATACTATTTATCTTTCTTCTTTTTACTATTTAATTTAATAGAGTAATCTGAAACTCTGTAAAAATATATATTATTATTAAATTTTCTGAAGATATTTAGCTTCTGGAAGAAAAGTCTTATAATTTATTTTTAAATCTAGAAATAATCTTAATTAAACTTCAGGAGTTTTAAGATATATTTTTTATAGATTTTTTTTAATAACCTTCCTCTCATAATCCTGTAAATAATGTTATTAATATTAAATTTAACAAGATATTTTCTTATAAATCTATATACTTTTTATTAGAGGCTGAACTCAAGATCTTATAAGAATATATTAAAAAAAATCTAAAATTAAATTAAATTTAATCTTCTAAGAGTTCTACAGGGGCCTTTATTCTTTTTATATTAAAGAAAAATAATAATTTATATCTTTATATAGACTACAGGAATCTTAATAAAATTTTAGTAAAAAATTACTATTCTTTATCTCTTATTTCAGAGATTCTTAATAGGGTCTTAGATAGTAAATATTTCTCAAAGATTAATATTAAGAATGCCTACTATTAAATCTATATTAAAGAAAATAATAAATAAAAGATAATATTCTGTAATTAATATAGCTACTTTAAATATATTATTATATTATTTAGATTAATTAATATCTCTGTAATCTTCTAAAATTATATATATATAATATTTCATAGACTTCTTGATGACTTTTATATAGTATATTTTAATAATATTTTTATCTTTTTATTAGATAGGGAATCCTATATAAAGTATATTTATTAAATATTAAAAAGATTTTAAGAAGTTTAACTCTATACAAAGCTATCTAAGTATTTATTTTACTAATCTTAAGTTAAATTTCTAAAATATATTATTAATATTATTAGAGTATCCATGCATTCCTAATAGATAAATAATATTATTTTATAATTAATCTCTGAAAGTTACTATAATATCTAGGTCTTTCTAGAATTCTGTAATTTTTATTATTAATTTATCTAAGACTATTTTTAAATTATTTTATTATTTATTTCCTTACTTTATAGAACAGTTAATAGTTAAAAATCTAGAGAAATCTATTTAAACCTACATGAATAACTTGTTTTTTATTATTTAATTACTGTCTTTCAGTAAGTATCTTTATTAATATATTTTAATTCTATAAAATCCTAGTATTTAAAAATTAATATATTAAAAAAAGGAATAAGCAGCATTCTGTTCTAATCTAATAATAAGAATATATTTTATCCAGTTATCTTCTAGTCTTATAAATTCTCTGGTACTGAATTAAATTATAATATTTTAAATTAATAATTATTTACTATTATTTATTTTTTTAAATAGTAGTAATAATATCTCAAAAGTACTTTCTAAATTATTAAAGTCTTATTTAATTATTTAAACTTATAATTTTTTATATATTAAACTAGAGTTAACAGAAGATAAGCCTGATAATTTATAAGTCTAATCTCTTATAATTTTATTATTAAATATAGAATAGGAAAATTAAATCTAATAGATAAGCTTTTTAAAATATTTTCAGAATCTTAAGTAGAATCTACTTTATAAAAAAAATT